ACCCCAATTGGATGTCATTACTGTCACCTGCTTCAATATCACTTTTTAAAGATGAATGGACAGAGCCTCTTCAAACTCCGCTTGTTACTTCACAGGAAGTGCCGCTAGAAGCTTATTCTTCGTGGAGTGATTTGAAGGAAGCTGTTTTAGACGAAGGTTTGCACGAATCCTACCTTTCATATACTCTTTTTAGTTATTAGGTATGTTAAGTCTTCTTTCGTTCGCGCATATCATATTCCTCATATTCCACAGACGAGTACGAAGAGGACGTTGTGTTAACTTCTCAAGAAGTCAACGTCCCACCATCAGCAGTGTCTAGATTCAAATATGATGATATCCTTTAATTATACAATACGATTTGTCATAATACATTTCTTTTACAATCCTTAACATTTTTACATATGAAGACTTACGGGTGCAAACCCGCGAGAGAAGAATCTGGAGTAATACAATGTAATTCATGTTTGAAAAAACTATTCGCTAGTGGTTTTGTAGAGCATACTGGTATTTTGTGCGCTTCATTTTTTTTTCTTTTTACATACAATAAAATCCGATTTGTTAGTTAAATTGTTTCTTTGTAATTAACGCACTTATTTCCCAATTCAGAAAATTGTGAGAAGATAAAGGCGATGTTCTCGATATCCACAAAGAAAATGCATGTAGATGAAATACCTGTAAATAAAAACATGAAAAATATAGAAAGCATAGCAAACGCATATGTTCCAAATAAAAAACGTAAACGATCCGTTAATTCTGAGGGTGTGTTTTACTTTCTTCTTCACTGTATTTCGTTTTTGAATAATAAGAATAAATAATCATTGTCTTATGGTAATCTCAATAGCCGAATTGATAGAACGACCAATATTGACCAAAGTTTCTACGTCAGCATCGGATACGAGATCATCGCCCGTAAAAAAACAAAAAATTAAGAAGGAAAAAGAAAAGAAGTCCAAATTAACCAAACGAAACAAAGGTAGTTAATAACTTGTTTCCGAATAGAAAATAATTCAAACTATATTTATTGATTCATTCTTGACATTTAACATTAATAGGTCCCATTGACTTGGATAAACAATGTGGGGTAGTTGAACATACCGGTATGCAGTGTTCACGTTCATTGACTTGTAAAAGTCATTCTATGGCCTTGAAACGAGCAGTTCAGGGTCGTTCACAACCATTTAACACATTGCTCTCCCAGTATCCAAAGAAGTCAATTGGTCGCCCACAAAGTAAATAATACATTGCAATAAGTTAGTGGTTATATACATTAGTATCAACTTTATTAATCGGTTCTATTTTAATGAAGATAATGGCGTGCCAGACAATAAACCAGAAAATAGCAAGAAAGATGGAAGCATTGTTGAAGTCGATGAAAAAGACGATGGGATTGTTGATTCAGACGAAGAAGTTGATGCTGTCATGGAAGCTATCATGTGTAGCAAACCACAGCCGCTTGTTACTCGGCCGGAATCTTACGTTCCACCTACAAGTAATTATTTCATATATAATGATTTATTACCTGAAGGTGTTGCTTAAATAATTTCGCAGAAATTTCTTTGGACTTTTGCAGTAGCCGAGTGTATTCAAAATAATGTAGCAGATATTGCAGGTAATTTAATTTTTATCCTTTTTTTGATTGCTATTAGGAATATCAATCCCAATGATTCACATAATACATTTTTAGGAATTGACGAAGCTGTTTAGTTGCATTACGGTTTGACGGGCTAACATGCTACGATCATAACCTTGCTGCTCAGTTAATGTCTTATTCCCAACATCTTAACATTTGTAGAGATGGTTGCAGGAAGTTGTGCATTGGGATCCCCTTTACTAGAAGTTTGCTAGTGTGATTTTTGCTAAAAAGTACTTCATTTTTTGTAGAATAAATTCACTATTTGTACAATACTTTTTTAAATTAAATTTTCTTGGATGTTGTTTGGTAAAATTCGACGTCCAATCAAGTATTATCTATTATTATCTAACAGCGTATAAAGAGTTCAAATATAATGAGACTGATTCAAAATTCCCACTCACAATTTATGTAAGCGACTGAGTGTAAAATTAGAACCAAATATTTTTTATTGGTTAATAAATAATAAATATTGTATAAAATTGTATATACTGTTCGGGACAGCTAAAAAAATATTGGGAACCCCACAGCAAAAGGGTGCAATGGGCCGAAAATTTTAATTTTGTAATTTATAAAAATTGGAAGCTGATTGTTCTAATTCTTCAAAAAATGAGTTTATAAAAAAAATTTTTTTTTGGTTCATTGCACCCTTTTGCTGTGGGGATCCCCATATATTTTTTTTAAGGGAGCTGGTATTCGTACCCCCACATTTGGTATTCATACCTCCTAACAAAAATAACTCTTTTAATATCTCGACAACCATCCAACCAAATTCGATTAACTTTTTTTATAAATCCAAATTTATTAAACTTGGTCGATGGATGTCAAGATACCTTTGATCGAAGTTAAAATCAAAACGTCTATCAAAATAGAAGCTGGCCGAATTTTTTTAAACTTTGAGCGAATATATCTCGACAACCACCTGATCAAATTCGATAAATTTTTTTTTATTTGAATTCTATGGATTCGCTCGAAGTTTGGTGCAGCTTCTATTTTAATAGACGTTTTTGATTTTTTCAACTTTGAGCAAAAATATCTCGACACCCATCTGATCAAATTCGATGAATTTTTATTTATATCGAATTTGGTTAGGTAGTTGTTGAGATATCTTTACTCGAAATTTTAAAAAAATTTCTTTAATAGATATTTTGATTTTTTTTTTTTTTTTTAAGTAAAGATATCTCAACAAAAATTTAATGAAATTGAGGATTTTTACAGTGCCAGACAAAAGTTTTCCTGCACCTATATCTGCTTACAGAAAGGTGTTATAGCCTTGAATTCCAGAAACTTAGTAAATAGTTAGCCTAGGTGGTGTATTTTTTTTGGTAATTTTTTAATTGCTAGAAAAAAATTTAGATAAGAGCCCAATTTTTTTTATAAAAAATTAAAAAATTAATTGGGTTTAGTGTTGTACCCTCCAAATAATGGACTTATGGACCAATTGGAATGGACCTCATTTGAACCATTTCAATTGTTTCAAAGAATTTTAAATGGAATATAGGTCTAATAAATTTATTTAACAAATAATAATTTGTTATATAAAACATCTTATATTCAATCAAATTACAGTATTTACTTATATTGCTATTATTAAAGAAGTTATATAAACAAAATATGTAAGTTTATTGGTAACTTCAAGTCTAATTTAGTTTTTATCATATCATATCCAATAGAGAGTTTCAAAATTAATGATTTGGTATCCAATTTCAGATAAAATAAGTAATGATTTGCATTAAAAATGTAATCTATAAATCTTTTTTTTAATGTATAAACTTATTTACATAATTGTTTATTGTAGATATTTATCAAAAAAACTAATTTTATTAACTTAAATCAGAATTTTAAAAATAGAAATAGGGTTTTTAAACTCCTACTTATTTTGAAATAAGTTTAATTTTAAAATCTCTAATGTTTAAATTCAATTTTATTTAGTTTCACAGATTTTGCATATAGATTTTAAACACTGAAATAATATCTTGTGCATAAAAGCTAAACTTTATTGAATGTTTTTTTCAATTAAAATTTAACCAATTAAATTTAGTTAAAATTCTACTAGTTTATTATTCTGATTAAATTTAAATTGAATCATTCCAATTATAACATTAAACACTAATAATAAATATTTAAATAATAAAACAATTTGATTGGTTAATTTGAATTATATAAGTAATGCAAAAATTTGATTGGTCAATCTAAATTGGATCTATTTGGACCTGGTTCAATTGGTCCAATTCTATATTCCAATTAAATTTCAATTGGAAGCTTCCAATTAATACCACTGATTGGATTTAATTAAAAATTAATAAAAATCAGAATCATGTTTAAAAATTCAAAATGTTTAGTATGTTAAAGTTAATGATTTTTATATTAGTAACAAAAAATTTAACTCAATTTGAGATAGTTATTGAGAAATTAATTTTTAAAGTTTAAATTTTATTGTTGTTTTATTCTGTTCAAAAAAATTTGGCATGAACAGGTTTTTATTATTATTTTTTCCTTCAACAATCTTGTTTATTTTATTACAGAAACAAACTTTCATTTTTACATTGGCTCATGAAGTAATCAAAATCTATAATATTTCAACCAAAAGAAAAACTCATCCATAGTGTTATATTAGCAAATTTTATTATGAGGTCTTTCCCTGATAGGCCAAGTGGTTTGGAGCCAGAGGTGCTTCCAATTTCAGTTGGGCCAATTCTTTTCTACAGGTTATTCTCATATTCTCCACTTTTTTCACTACTCCAATTATCTTATCATTGTATTATACTTCCAAGCAAGTACTCTACAAGTTGGATGCAAAGATGTTGGTGCTGCCTTAGTCATCTCTAATTAAGGACTGATATGTATAATCCTTATATAATAAAACCTTTTATAACTTGGTATTATGTGTAGTACTACTGCTCTATAATTGGACCTCCTTTCAAGAATTTCTTTTTCCGGTTTTGTACTTGCATTTAGACTTAGCCACAGAACTCTGCATTTGATTATAACTCCCTTCTAGGTTACAGAAGTGAAAAATCCTAAGATAATATCTTCAACCCAACTCAAACCATTGACTTAGTCTGTGGCAATTTGGCAGCTTTAATCGCTAAGCTATAGGGCCCAAACTCCAAACTAATAATACTATAAAATATACAATAATAATATAAATAATATAATAAAATTTAAAAGAAAATATAATAAATATATAATAAAGATTGTTAATAAAATTTGACTAATAAAAATTGTCTAATAAAATATATAATCTAAATAAATTTAACTAATAAAATTTGCTCAAAAAATCAAACTCTTTCTGACGATCATCTGGTCAACAAAAATCAAGAAACCGAACTACAGTCAGCGCTATAGAAGACATCAAAGTAAATAATAAACTTGGTCCTACAAAAGTAGATGTGTTGTTGACGAAGTACCAAGAATGTAAAACCAAGGCGTGGTCTACTTTGGACTGGTTTTTGTAAAGGTCAAGCTTTTCTTCTGGCGGACTCCTCTATTATATTCGGCATCCAAACCAAAAGGATATTTTGGGAACATAGAG